CTTACAAATTGTCCTTGGCATAATGGGAAAGAAGAATATAGTCGCAACGCCGATAACTATTTTTTTAGGGTATAGTGATTCAATTAAAATGACTATATTGCCATTTAACTTTTTACTTATATTTTTATTTTTTAATATATTATATTTTCTAATTGAAAAGAAATTTAGAAATAGAAAAATTTATATTTTTTTGTCAACTAATTCAGACTTTTAGCAAGGAAAGAATAATCTCTCATTTAATTTTGTCACTAAATTAAATTTTTCTAGGCGTGGATGGATGGATTTTTTTTAAGTGTAAAGGTAACATAATTGTTCTTTTTTTTTTTGGATAACATCTTTAAAAATTTAAATATATGGACCCCTAAATATCATTAATCAAAAGGCTCACAATCCATGTAATACAAGTACAACTCATGAAAATAAAAATGAACAGGTTTTACAGATTCACAACTCATAGTTTGTATTTAATGTTTAGAAGAACATATTGTAATCACTCTAAATTTAAAAAATAATAATAATAAATAATAAAATTTGATTTAAAATTTTAGAAAAATCTCGTGTCCTCCCTTGTAATATTCTTGTGCCTTTTCTTGTGAATTTCACATGCTCCTTTTTGTAATTTTTCCCAACCCTTCTTTTGATCAGAAAACCATTTTTTTTCGTGCAAAAAGAAAACAGAGCATCTCATCTTTTTTTTTTTTTCCACCACCAATATAAACATTCATAGTCGGCCTATCTCTGTCTCTTATCTACGTTCGTAGCTCGCTGTCACGAGGGGTTGATTTCTCGCTGTTGTGCTTCATCCGCTGTCATCATCTTTATTCACGTTCGCCAGCCATAGTGAGTTGGTTGCTGATTCTCCTTTTATATCATCGTGCTGTTCTATATGGCCGAGAGGTTTCCATCGAGTTGCTGTCTTCGTTGCCATCTTCTTCTTCCTCTTCGCTGTCTTGGTTCACCTCTGTCAGGTGGAAAGGATGAATAGTTTTTGTTGCTCTGTTTTGTGCTTAACCGAGGTGCATATTCAGGGGTTAGTTTTTTTTTCTTCTTTTCTTCCTTGCCTTGATGTCGAAATCCAGCGTGTGTGCATGTGGTAGATGATTCTTTTATTGTTGGTTGAAATTATAGTCTCGTTCTTCTCGTGTGTATGATAGATTGAAACCCTTAGCTTTTCTCCTTCGACGCTGTGCAGTGGCTAATTTATGTTTGTTGCCACTGAGCTTTGTTGAGGTAAGATGTTGTGTTCTTTCCTTTCTCTTCGGATTATATAGCCCACTAAATCATTCCGTCTTTTTCCAGCCGTTGGGTGCAGTTTTTGTTCTTCATTGTAGTTGTAATATTTTAGTTGAGTGTAAGGAGAAAATTCAGTTGATGCTGGGAATGGTTTATAATGATGTTGAGCTGATCTTTAACCGTAGAATTTGATGTTGGGAGTTGTAGAACTTACTTGGATGTGTTCATTTCATAACTTAATTATTGGAAAATGCCCTCAATGTGTTTGTAGTTATATTAGAAAGAAGATATGGAGGGAAAGAAAGTTGTCGAAATGCATGGGTAATTATCTTATAAATTTGTCAATGATAAATACATGCTCTCAAGGTATTTGTAAAAATGTGGGATAGGAAAATTTGGTGAATTGTGAGTTGTTAAGATTCGCTTGAAAAAGTATCTATCAGTTTAGTTCAAGTTGTTGATTGAAAATTTTAAAACACCAAAATGGGAGAAATGATTATATACAATACTTGTTTCACATTTTTAGTTAGAGGAAGCTTAAGAATAATGGATATGGTTTATTATGATTTATGAATGAGTATAAGCCATAAGAAATTATGAGGATAAATGAAAAGTTGTCAAATAATTTAATTGACTTAAGTATATTTAAAACATAATTTGTTGGAATATTCTCGTTAATATCATTTGGATTGAACTTTAATGCATAAATAGTGATTGATTTCTTAAAATTTTTAGAATTATGATTTATTTATTAGTTAATGAATTAAGCATTCTTTCAATTTTCTATTTTTTATTAATAATTATTTATAGTAATGATGATGTCTTGATTTTACTAATGATTTATGCTATTGGTAAGTAATAATTAAAGTTGATGTACGACAAACAGTGTTACTTTTCAAAAACAATCCAATTGTTTAACTTTATGTTTGATATGAAAAAGTTTAGTACAACAACTTGTGCATGGAGGAAATGACAATGAATATGGGAATGGAAGATGACAACTGAATCATATATTTTGAAAGTGAAAATTTTGAAATTGTTTTTCAACTCTGTGCAAGCTTGATTTTAATTAAGGGGACTGAGTTTAGAACGTTGGATGCTAATGGCAGTTCTGTTAGCCCTTGGCATGCCATGGTACACCTAGCTAGCAAGGTGCTTACGGGAGGTGGTAGCCTTGTGCAAAGGCCAACACACGTGGATCAGAGGGATGGTATTTGTGAGCACTGTACTCGCGCCTGTTTTCGTGGGCTTCGGTTACTTACCCTTGTAGACTGTGTGTCCATGCTTGATTGGTTATTTACCCTCATGGACTGTGTGTCCACGCTTGTTATTCGTTCTGATAAAGCCCTCCTAATTTTAAGCTAAAAACTTATCATTTCTCTAATAATTCTTTAAAAGTACTTTATTGCACTACACTATCATTGGAAAATTTTATATTTATGGTTAATATAAACTTTTAACATGTATGTGATCTTATTAGCATTGTTTAATCTCAAGATCATATTATTGGGAAAAATCTTTATTTGTTTCTAGCTAAAGGATGTAATTCATTATTTCATTAAGTCATTTGAAGCTAAATTTATTATCTTCATATTTTCTTACTTATAATTTTGATCGGAACACTAATCACCGGTAATTCATTTTGTCCCAAATATTGTAGCTGACCCTATACTTCCAGTAGATCATTGAGGGCCTTTTTTTTTTAGAAAAAAAGGAGGAGGCATATTGCAATTACTGTTTTGGTAAACTAGGTACTGTATTTTGTAATTATAATTTTAGTGCTCCACGTACACCATAGTTAGATCCTAGTCTTATTTTGTTATTGTAAAAATTGTAGGAATGGAGCTAGTCTCCTTGCCAGTCTAGTTGGCAGGTTTTGTTGTTATTGTAGAAATTTCGGGAGGTCCAAATTATAGGGGAGATTCTGCTAAAATTTTGACAAAAACTTTAAAACTTTACGAACTTTACTATTATATATAACTTGCACATATCACTATTTTAGCTCAATTTCTAGTCAGTCAAGGCTTATGGAATGTGTGTTTACTTCATATTCCATGCCAATCATACCCTTAGTTTTGGGGGTGTGACACATATCGTCAGATCACCCTTTCTTTAGGGATAGTCGAGGAATGAAGGATAGACAATAACACCAATTGCAAAATAGATTTAATATTAATTATTTTTAACTTGACTTCTTGCATAAATAGGTCCTCAATCCTGTCCAATGATGCTCCAACATCTAACATATTGCAACGTCCTGTTAGAGAATTGAAGCAGCAAGTCAAGGCTAATTTAAAAATAGTGGATGTAGTTGTCTGTTGCTCACCGCAAGTGTACGGGTCATAGCAAGTAATATAAATGAGTAAAGTATCGTTCCCTCGAGGATTTGTTTAAAAACAATGGTCAAGCAAAAGACTAAGCAAATTCGATCAAGTTGAGCTATACAAAGTTAGGTGAAAATGATTTTGCAAATGAAATTAACTCTAGAAAATAAAGAAAAGTGAGTGATTCACAAACTTCAAACACACTTTAGGACCTAGGATTATTCATCCCCTTTGCATTTCATAACACCAAAATTACCTCCTCTCATAAATGCTTTTAATGAAAATAAGTGCTAACCTAGGGTTCTAAAAATACTTGGACAAGCTCTCTCAAGTTATGAACAAGTGTTTAGTTAAATTAATTGCCTAATCTCTTGTTACAATTAATAAAACATAATTTTAAACACCAACCCTAATGTGGCTATGCAAGGCTAGCAAGTATATCTCTATCTTACTAGCAAAACTATCCATTCAACATGCAAATATCAAGTTCTTGCACAATATTACCCAAGTTCTACACTCAACCTAGCCCTCTCAAGCATCAATTAAGTGAACCCAACATCTAAATGGTGGACAATCACTTAGAAGCATTAAGGAAAGAGTAAAATAAACACCTATATATCATTAATCACAAAAAGAGAGGAAAATATAGTGCTAATCCATACAAGGGTTCCAAATAATCCTAGAACAAATGGTTTAGCTACCCATAATCATCCACAAGCTACAAATATACAAAATAAGTAGACCCATTTCAGATTACAAGAGAGGAAAGGAAAGAGGAATAGAAAAACCGAAGAAAATGAGCTCCAAATGCCTTCAAAACTTCAATTTCTTGATCCCAACTCTTCCAATGCCCAAACCCTAGCACAACCAAGCTCCAAAAGTGTCTAAAGTCTGAAGAATGCGTTCTGGGTCGAGCTCTCAGCATATATATGTCCTAGCCAACCAATTTCTGATAAATGAAACGCAACGTTTTTCTGACAGCGGCGAAAATTGTGAACGAAAGTCACGACTTTAGGACGACTTTGGCAGTTTTGCACTGTTTTTACAGCTAACGAAAATCATTTATTTTGCTCTTGATTTCTTCATCCAAAAGCCTTCCAAAAACATCCACAAAGCTCCAGAAATGCTTCTTATCAAAACTTCAATCAAAATAACATGAAATTAGGCTAAAAATATCAAATTAAAGCCAAGAACACAAGCCTAAAACAAAATACACATTTTCCTAATTTGGGCAATAAAAACATATATAATTGAACCAAAATGGATTAGAATCTAAGGAAAATGTGATGAAATAACATGAACTTCTAGAGGTTAACATTGTCAAAATATTACCAACATATTGTTCATCTCCTTGTAATAAATTGGAATTCATGACTTGAATCAATGCATGTGACATTGATTCGCTTATCCAAGTCTTTAAGTTTAATCCATTGACAAACATACCTTTTGTTGGCTTTTTCCTTGTGAACACTTCCATTAGTATTATTCCATAACTATACACATCAACTTTTGTTGAAACAATTCCAACAAGTCCATTTTCTGCATATAATATAATTTAATTCAACCAAAGTCAAATATCAAGTAACTTATATATGATATAGCAACTAAATAATAACTAACTAATAGCGCAAATTCCTTTACATTTCTTGAAGCATTCTTTAGAATTTCTTGGATATACATATATATATTATAGGTTTAAAATGACAATCAAATAGTACTTTAAATGTATGGTTTTTAGAACATAAAAACTATCAGAAAACATTCTCCTCAAATATAATATATGGGATATATTTTTGACAGGAATATATATATCTCAAATTGTTATATACACTATATTAAAACTAGGTACTACATTGATGAGCATGAGCCCACATACATTTTTTTTTGGCCGAACACAATGACATACATTAAAACACACCATCACATTCATGTTTGAAAGTAAAACAAAGAATTAATCATAAGTATACTAAATTAGTTAAAAAAAGTATAGTTCTTTTTTTAATATAAAAAAAGCCATCAAAATTGTAAGGAAATAACCATAAAAGTTTTGTATAAGAATTAGGGAAATTAGACTCAATTGTGATTATTTTGCACTAATAACTTTAATAATGTGCTGTAGTTTATCAATTCAACTTCTCATGTATAAAAACAAAATGTTTTGTTAACAAGTGCATCATTTCACATAAATAAGGACTAATTTATTTTTTCTCTAATTTCATTCAATGTGTTAATCTAAAAAATGAGACAACATATGTACCTTACTGTAGTAACTTCAATTTAAATGGGGTTTTGTAAAAGAACAATAATAAAGATTTAAGTTGATTACCTAGTGCAATATAACTGATTGTAGATATTGTCTCGGTGTATGTCTTAGATTTCCCTTTATCTAAAAATTTAGCAATTCCAAGGTCATGCACATGGGCAACCATATTATGATCCAACAAAATGTTACTTGGTTTCAAATCACAATGGACTACTGGTGTTGACAAGTCATGATGAAGATATTCTAAAGCAAATGCTACTTTTATCATTATATTCAACTTTTGTAGAAAATCTAAATGATAGTTATCAAAATATAACCATTTTTCAAGGCTTCTATTAGGAATGAACTCCATTATCAAACACTTCAAATCGGCATTGAAACAACTACTAATGATCTTCACTAGATTTGGATGGCACAAATTACGCATTGTGTCGCATTCTACCTCAAAGCTCCTTAACAATTCTTTTGAGTCAAAGTTGAATATTTTAACAGAAACCATTATTCCACTTGAAAGTTTTCCTTTGAACACAAAACCAAAACTTCCCCTTCCAAGTAAGTTACTCTCATCAAATCTAAGAGTTGCATCCAAAATTTCAAAATAAGAAATCTTTCTTGGCATTCTTAAAGTAGATAAAACTTTTTTAATGGTATGCCTAGAATTTATTCACTTTTGTTGAAAGAGGACAATGTTGGAGCAATTGAAGTTGTTGACAAAGCCATTGGCAGTACACATTTCAACAAAATAATTTCTCTATTGACCTTTTGCTTGTTCCTTTTTTGCATGGAGGCACTTGCATTGGTGGCTCACCACAAAGTGCTTTATTCATCATGAAAGATTCAAATGTTAAACTTTTGAAGACTCTGCTACTTGAAATCTCACCCTGTAGTTCATTAAAAGAGAGATTGACATACACAAGGGATATAAGTGAGTCTAGAGATTAGGAATCTCACCAAATAATTCATTTTGGAGAAGGTCTAACTTCACTAAGCTTAGCAAATTCCTAAGTGATTCAAGAATCTTCCCATGCAATTTGTTATATGCCAATGAGAGAGTTTACAAATTTTGCAAGCCACCTATGGCTAATGGAATGATGCTTGATATACGATTTCTTGATAAATCTAATGATATAAGTGCTATTAAGTTGCCCATCTTGAATGATAGATTTCCAACTAAAACATTGGAAGATAGGTTTACTTCCAATATGCCAATTAGATTCCAAAAGGAAGAAGGTATCTCAAAAATCAACTTATTGGAGTCCAAGTAAAGTTTTTGCAAGGACATAAGCTTTCCTAAACAAAGTGGAATTGCTCCAGAAAACTTGTTTCGAGATAAATATATATATGCAAGTCTTCTAACTTCACAAAGCTCATCAACAATCAAGCCACCTAGCTCATTGCCTTCAAGATTCAAATATTGAAGAGCTTGTATATTGCTAATTGCTTTTGGTATCGATCCATTTAAAAAATTTTCAACCAGTGATAGCTGGAACAAGTTAGATAGATTCCTAATTTCTGATGGTATGTTATCATTAATCTTGCACAAGTCTACAAGTAGCACCTGTAGAGAATTAGACAAGTAGGACTTGGGATGTTTCATATGTAATGGATTCGTTGAGAGAATCAAACTTTTCAAATATCTGCAATTTGACAATGAGTTGAAAAAGCTAATTTCAGAATTGGAAGTATATATAATGCTAAAATTATTATCACTTTCCAAAAAGGTTTCTAAGTATCTTAAATGCCCAAGTGTGTTTAGTAAAATCCCTTCAAAATTATTGTTTTGCAATTGTAGTTTGGTTAGCTTAGAATCATTGGATATAGTATTTGGGATTTTGTCAAAAAGATTGTTGCCCCATAAATAAAGCACTTGTAGATTAGAAAGGCCAAATCCAAAATTTAATGGAAGACTTCCTGATAGAGAATTGTTTGAGAGAGACAAGACCTCCAAAGTTGACATGTTGAAAATTTCTGATGGAATAAACCCTCAATTTGTTTTGAGACAATTCTAATATCTCAAGCTATTGAAGATTACCAATTTTCATAGGTATTTATCCTATAATACAAATATTGATTGAAGTATCAACGAAAGTTAAGATTAAAATATAAAAAAACTTATAAATATCTAACTACTTAGATTTACCCACTACTTAAACATAAAATTTTGGACAAATTTGTGATGGATTGGGGCCTTTGCAACAAACTTAGTATGCTTTGATCCGTCACTAATTTAGTGGTCACAATTTTGTCACATAATTTCACATTTTTTATGTTTAAAATAAACGCTCTTATAGGTATTTTTTAGTGGTGGATGATGATTTTTTAGTTTGCTGTCCTGAGCTTCTAAAATTATTTTTAATTTATACTATTACAAACTTAAATAGTCTGTTACATCATGGTTTTAACAATTGGTACATACTAGTCGATTGGATGTGAACAAGCCTGTGGTCAAGTCTAGCATAAATCATTAAATCTTATGTGTAGTGAACTAGTAAAAAATTTGTCAACAAATTGGGGGAACATGAAAAGCATGTTGGTTGGTTGATTCACCAGTTCAAGAATCAGATCTAAACAGGAAAAGAATAGACTGGGAGAGGTTTGGAGAGAAGTTGAAAATCATGAGGGGAATGAAAATGCATGATTCCAAGAAAAAATTAAGAATTCATTATATAGTATAAAATATCACGTTAAAAGAAAATGATTGTAGTACATTATAATTTGGTGAAAATGTACCTTCTAAATTATTGGTATCAAGATACAACTGTTGAAGCACAGTCAAGTTTCCAATGCCTCTTGGTATGGGGCCAGATAGCTGATTAACCCTTAGGCTCATCATCTTCAGATTTGCAAGACTTATAATTTCATTGGGAATATTTCCTGCAAACAAAAAAATAATAATAATAACTATGCATCATTGTAAGTAAAAAGAGCAACACTTAAGTTTGTGGTAACGCATACTTTCTATGTTATTTCAAGTTATTTTTTGTTTTAAAGTTAGTGGTCTAAATGAAAATAAGCTTATATATGTCTAAAAAGCATGATTGTCCTCATATATAGATTTATATATTTAAAAGATGAGCAAACACTTAAAGTCATCCATAAAATTATGATATATATATATATAATTATATATTGTTCCATGTTTTGAAAACAATTTAGTCTATATTAGCCTAGTTTTTATTTTTTATTTTGATGAATTATATTTCTTGATAAATTAACAAGTTCAATATGGGGTAGCGATATTTTTTGTTTTACTTTTCATAAAAATTACTTCTTAAATAATAAGAAGCTTGTTTAAATAATAATAAAGGATAATTCCCATTAATTATATATGGTTTTGAATTGCTACGTGCCAATCCCAAAGTATAATGTGCAGTTGAAATACATTTTTAATTAATAAATTTAAGTTGGTGAATATTTGATAAAGTCTGTTAAATTTGTAGTACAAGTTGTGAAAGCTTTGGATCGTAATCTAAATAATAAAATAAAATAATAGTCAATTCTCCAATTCCTTGAGTATATGCATATATTCACTATATCTGTTTAAGGTTAATTAATGCTCAGAAACTTATTTTCATCATCTGTGTTTATAAATTTTGGATTTGAGAGAATCTCTATGTTTGTTGTAAAGAAATACTTCCTTTTGCAATGTGGTAAACAAAACAAAAAGAAAAAGTAACTCTATTTTGATTGCTAATTCCACACGTCTCACCTCCCACAATTTTACTTTTGTTTTTTGGAAACAAATTTGATATAGTCTGTTGAATATATATATATATATATACTTGGTTTAATAATTTACAAAGAATAATTTTAATTTAAAAACCTAAAATAAAATGAAATCCTATGAATTTGTTTTATGATTTTTAAGAATCCTTGTAAAAAAGAAGTTATGAAATTAAAGTTGGAGATTTAATTTGGGGTCCATTTGTTTGATCTTCCTTTTACGTGATGATCACTTATTTTTTATGAAAAATTATTTTGTGAAATTTTATGATATTTGCTTAAACTTTTGAAAATAATAAAAATTAAAAAAACATATTTCTAAGTTCTGACTAATTTGAAAAGCTACTTTGAATAGTTTTCAAAAAGGGAAAATTTTATATACTTAGCATTATATGTTATGGTGGTTGCTTCCAGTTATATGAAGAGATGTGTATCGTTTATAGATTATTTATTCTAAAATAGTTTTTTGTTATTAATATCACTAACACATTAAATTTCACTTGTTTTGATTTGATTGGATTTAAGTACTATACGTTAAGTGTATAAGGCCAAATACGTAAGTCTTGCCCATTTAAAATGACTAAATAATAATTTTTTATGAATAGAGATCTATGAAGATATCATAAAATTTAAAAATAACTAAATAACAATCACTTTTTATTACTATTATCAAACATAAAATAATATATGCTTTTTATAAAATATCTACAGCATATATCACTTTTTTCAAAAAAAAAAATATCTAAATGATATAAACCTCACTTATTTTTTCATCGTAAACAAATGGGTCCTTGATTTATTTTGTAGTATAGATTTATGAAATTGTGTTGCCTCCTAAATGTAACCATTGAAATCGTCAATTTGACATATATTTGAAGGGATGCTTCTCCAAAAATTATGGTCACTCAAAAAAGTTGTTTATAATGATTCCCATTAAAAAATAAAGGAAAATTTATGTATAGGTCTTATAGAGCAGACTTATTTTCAAATAAGTCCCGTAAAATTGAAAAATTATAGCTAGGCCCTTGGGACTTAAGTATAATTTGAAACTAGGGTGCAAAGACAATAATATTTCTATTAAAAATATATTACATCAATTGAGTAATTTACAATTACATCATTAATAATTTATAACTATTACTTTAACTTTTTACAACTGTAATTTCACATATCCAATAATTAAACTGATCATGCATGATAAGTTTAATACTAATTATATACAATACCTTATTAGTAATTTACAATTATCATATCAATATTTTACAACTATGATTTCACATATCTAATAGTTCAACTGATCATATGTTACCAACAAAGTTCAAGATTAATTTTTTACAACTATTTCATTAATAATTTACAATTATTACTTCAACTTAATTTCAAATTACACTCAAATCTCAGGGGATATGGCTGTAGTTTCTAAATTATGTGGGACTTATTTGTAAATAAGTCCGCTCCACAGGATGTAATTGTCCAAAAAATAAAAGCAAACAATAGTTAAAAAAAGCTATGATTTGTTAAAAATGTACCTTGGAGGTTATTGCCTGCAAGATATAAATTTCCAAGCATGATCAAATTTCCAATGCTTGGTATTTGGCAAGACAACTTATTCATACCCATGTACATATTTTTCAGATTTGTAAGCTTATTCATTTCTTTGAGAATATGTCCTACAATATGGCCACAAAATAAACTTGTACTTTTTTTCGCGAGTGCTTGTATAAAAAATAATATTAAACAAAAGAGTAAGACATATAATTCTGGGAATGCATTATTGTTGTATCTCATACATGTATTCAATAATTTGATCTCTAGTCAATATTACCAACCAGAAAATAATATACACATATACAATAATACATGCATCAACTTAGGACAATTGAAAAGTAGAAAAGGAATTCCAAAAATTATAGCATAAAAAAAAGTGCCTTGCTGAAAGAGAATTCCCACTAACATTTATTTAAATTGTCTACTTAAACAAAAATATTTGTTGTCAGAGATAACTCATTCAAGGAATAATTTTTAAAGAATATTGAAATTTATTCCGGTGATGATAGCTTAATTATATAGTTAATGTGTTTCATGTAATTGTAAAATGTTTTCGGTTCAAGGTCTAACTTTGAAAAGACATAGTAAATAGCATACCCCAAGTTAGATTGACATCAAATATAAGACTAATATAAACAATTACCAAAAAAATGATAAATTCTTCAATTTTGAAATAGAATAAATGTTTATATAATCACATATATATTATACAAGACATACCTTCTAAGAAGTTGACAGACAAAGAGATGTGCTCAAGTGATGATAAGTTAGAGATAATTGGAGGTATACTTCCTAAAAGCATGTTTCGAGAAATGCTTAAAAATTTCAAGTGTTGAAGTCTTCCAATATCCACCGGAATAGATCCATTGATAGAATTAGACTTCAAATTCAAGGTCTCCAACTTAGACAAATTCCATATGCTTAGAGGAATGAGACCTCCAAAACTATTATTGCCAAGATTCAAGTGTTGAAGCATAAACAAGCTTCCAATCCAAATCGGAATTTTTTTGCTAAAAGTATTATAACTCAAGTTTAGAAAATTTTCAATTTGTGCAATTGAAGCAACTCTTTTGGAAGCCCACCATGAAAGTTGTTGCTTTGTAGTTCAAGTTTTTCTAAGAAGGATAGATTTCCAATTTGTGAGGGTAAGGTGCCCTTAAGACCCATCTCAGGAAGACTTAGGATTCTTACTCTCTCATTGTTAGAATCACATGTGACTCTAAACCACTTGCAGTAGGAAGATGATGAGTTGAACCAATTCTTCAAGTGATTGTAAAGGTCTCTAATAGAAGATCTGAAAGCAAGAAGTGCCAATCCATCGAGGGTAAAATTGAAATGGCATAAAGATTGGCAAACCATGAGACAAAGCATGGAGAAAATGGAGAAGAAATGAAAGCAAAGGTTTCCCATGTTGAATTGGCGCAGAGCTTCTTAGGTTGAAGAAAAAGAAGAAAGCTTCACTATAAATAAGCTTTTGAGAGTGATGGCTGATCAGCTTTAAGGTTATCAATAATGATAACAATGCAATTAATTGTTGTAACCTATAATAGCTACTTATAATGAACAAAATAATATGCAAAAGCTGTTTTGTAGTGGAAAAAATAGAAGGAAATGTTAGAATATTGGTGAATTTACTTGACCCAAAAAACTTATAAAGTTGATCCCATTCAAATTTCCCTATAATTAAATTGGCACCGTTGATTTAATGCTAATATATGTAGAAAACTTGCGTTCCTTTTTTTTCCTTGGAAAATTGCATTCCTATGTATTCACAAATTATGTGTTATACTTTAAAATTATGATCAGATACTCCACATTAACTATAGAGAAGATATGGTCTATTATCTATTTGTCTGTTGATTGACGAGGAGTAGAGCTCTGTATTTCTGATTTAGATTGTGCATTGATGTAGTAAAGAGTTTGGGAAGTTCTATTTATGGGAGAGATTCTATTGAAATGTTTACAAAAAGTTTAAGAATCTTTTATTTATATAAAAATGTTATAATGATTTTCCATCCCATTTTAAATGAATTAAAATATTAGATTAAAGTTTTCTTAAGACTTAAGGGATGTATGTTTGTGCATATATCATGTACCAGTCACATTTAATTTTTAGGGCTTGACATTGGGAGCTTGGGTTGAAGAGACAAAGGCCGACGGAGTTAAATGGTGAAATTTTAGGTGAAGCTATGACTCACGGACTCAAGTTTTAGGAAAGCAATTGAGGCTGAGGTTTGGTGGTCACCAATGGCAGAGGGCCGAGAATGGATGGAGGAGTGGTTGCTGGCATAGGGGAAGGAGATTTAAAGGTGGTTGGTGGTGGAGATGGAAAAGACGAGAGGCAGAGTGAGAGAGGATTGAGGCTATGAGTATCATATTTGGCAAAGTTGCATGAGGGTTTCAGATTTGGGGGAAATTATTTGATTTTTTTTTAAATACCAAGCTGCAAAACGCAGCTTGCATACTTTAAGGGAAAAACAAAAAAAAAACTTATTTTATTAATATTATATATATACATATGTTATTTATTTATTAATTTAATTTTTTTAAAAAAAGATAATGCTGCAAAACACATGTCACACCTTGAAATATGGGAGTAGCCGATATGGGATATGCACCTAAACACACATCCCTTAAGCATAATTTAAGAAATATTCCATTTTAAAAATACTTTTCATTTAAATGAAGCCTTAATATTTTTTTGAAAATTTTGACAGAATCTCCCTTGAATATAGGATTTCCCTGAAATTTTACAATATAAATTTTTAAAAAAATATTATAGCATCTAGGAGCTTAGCTCCTTCTAGCTAGCAGACAAAATATTTACAAAACGAAGACCTTATTGCAGCCTATATGGAGTACCTATAATATTACTTATAAAAGTATAATATATAAATTAAAATTTTACATAAAAAATAGAGATTAACCAAATGGCATCACAACTTCAATCCAGTAGCAAATCCCTTAAATGATCTGACAGAGGTACAAGCTATCTAAGATCAAAATAACTTTCTAGTGAATAACATTCCAACCATAACATTTTACAAATTCAAAATGAATAACTACAACATATACATAAATTAAAGAGGAAACAATTTTAATGTAAACAAATTTGTACGCTCAGAATAAAAGTTCTATATAACTTCAAAATCAAAAAACTTTAAATCTATAACAACAAAGCAACTTTAACATTTGATTTTGACAAGTCAAAATGATTAAATAAATACATAAATAAAAATAATAAAATTTGCCAATTAAAAACCATTAATCATCAATTAATTAAAAATTCATATTTTTGGGAATTTATAACAACAATTCACAAATGTGAACATACAGTCCATAAGGGTAAATAACTAAAAGTGCCATGAAGACAAAAGTGGATACACAGTCCATTAGGATAAGTAACTAAACTTAGCCTTATATACAAAACAAATGTAGACACACAGTCCATGAGGGTAATATTAACCAAACGTCACTCAACGCCACAAAAACAAATACAAGTATGAGAACTATGAATAATAAATGCGAGAATCGAACTTACAAAAATCAAACTAGCCAGTTATTGACCATGGTGTGCCAAAGTTTAATGAGACTACCGTTAGCAACCAGTGTCCTTCATAAAATCCCCTTCAAATCCATTTTTAAACTTGCGAGAAAATCATTACTATAAAAATACAGTTTTCATTCTCAAAGTCAAACTCACATGAATAGTTTTGAGCATTAAAAACTTGCCAAAATAAAATTTCATAACCAATGTCCATGTTTGGCATTTATTGAGTAACCCAAAAATAACTAGAGTTAATAAAAATAGTCTCATTAATCTTGAAAGTATCCTTCATAAGGAAAAACACAAGCACATGTCATAATTCAAATATCCTTTAATATCTCGTTATAATTTCCCAAGATAAAAATAATTTAACTAACAAAATATTAATATGTGATATAATTTTTATTGAATGACCTATGTAAAAAAAAAATATCTTGAAAAAATAATTTTATTAATAAATTAATTGGGACGCCATCCACTTACATAATAGATTCCCGAGCATATAACTTACTTCCAAATTAGCCCTTTTTGCAACAACTTGAGATCCTTAAATTCCTATTATCCAAATAATACTATAGTCACTTTCCTATATACACTTTACAATCACCAGTGGTTGTAAAGTGTATATAGAAAAATGATGGGAAAGCACGATCACCAGTGGTTGCCAGTTGAATGAAGGAGGAAGGGCGACACCGCACAAGGAGAGAAGAGGGAAATCGGTGCAGAACAGGGGAAGAGGAATGAGACGCGAGCACCACAGCAATACCAAACAAAACTCTCGTACTCCAACACCAGTGATGAGCTGACGACAGAGAAGGAAGAAGGAGAAGATAGAGAAAAGCTTCTGGATCTAAAACATCTTTCTCTCTTTGTTGTGGCTGAAGAAGAATCAAGAATGGGGAAGAGGATGGATGGATCTCAGTTCAGATGATAAGTGGAAGAGCCATATTGGAATATGGTAGCCTTGAGCACTGACAGCGGTGATGAGCAGTGAACTGAGAAGCAAGAGATGGCAGAGGGTCTTCAATTCCAAACTTCCCTCTGTGTCCAGCGAGTTTGATGAATTTGGAAAAAGAAATGAGAGAAAAATATCTGATTAAAGTGGAGGGCAAAGTAGTAATTTCATAAGGCAAAGTAGTAATCATATAATACATGGGTAACTCTCTCTCCCCCCCTTCACTCTCTCCTCTCTCTCTCGCTTGTATGGAATTCATGATGTAATATGGTAAGGTAAGGTTAGAACATCCCGGTCCCCCTTCCCCCAAAAAAAAAAAAATAACGTGTGTTACTATTAATTTAATTTATTTTTTATATTGGTTAACATTATATTTTTTTAATAAATGTTTGAGTTTTTAATAAAAATTATCTATATATGTTTTTATTCTTGATTAACATTAACTTTTTAATCGCATGAAAATAGTTGACAAGGGCTTTGATCCTATAAAAAGACAAAATAAGTATCGGAATTCAATTTTGAAGGTCAGTTAATTAGCTGGTGATCATGTTCATCATTGGAAACCTAAATAATACTTCTGTCATGTGTAATGCTCCTTTTAGGAATAAGCACTATGTACTCGCGTGTGTGCTCCCTGTGTTATGAAGTTATTGTTGTTTCAGAAATTCAATGCCGTTGACCAAAGAAAATTATTATACACTTATTTAGTACATTCAATTTTATTTATAAGTTATTTTTAGTTACTTCACTGAAATAAAAAAAAGGAAGTTAACTTATTGATATTTCTTGGGAAAAAAATCAAGAAAGAAAGAAAGTGACTTAATACAGTAAAACATTTTACCAAAAAAAAAGGGTAAAACAAAAAAAAAATTGATTAAAATTCCATCTTTTTTTTATAACTATTCTACGCTAGCGAGCTCAATATCTGTTGTTCTATTAAAAAAAAAAAAAACTGGCGTTTACAATTATTTTAATTTATTGTTTAATTTTTATATTGATTAACATTATATTTTGTAATAAATGTTCGAGTTTTTTGCTGTTATTATTGTGATAACTTTTTATTTTATAATATTCATTAATCAAATTATGAAGTTTCAACATTATTCGTTTTAAAATTTGAACGAATAGTGATTTTTTTTTAAAGGAAAAGCTACACATGCTAATAAAAATAATTGACAATGACCCTCAAGTCTTGCGGTGCTAGACGTGTCCATCGTGGCCCCAAGTTTTGGGTTTGGTAACGTACTTCCTCAAACATTATGCTTGCTTCCAAAAAAAAAAAAAATTAAGGAAGCAGTTGTAAGTTCGTCTCTCAGTTCTTGGTAATAAAACAACTTCGCTTAAATCTTAACTCCCATGTATTAATTAAAAAACTTTTGCTTGAATCTTAACTCTTATTATGGAAAATCACTCCAAGCTTTAATCTTCTCAATAACTTTTTATTTTAATTTTTATTTAAGTATTATATCACCAATATTACCATTGGTTATTTAATATACGATATTGATATATGAATTGATATTAATGTAAAGAATTTAGATGGCCATGTGATGTAGAACAAGATGGGGGACAAGGGTAAGAGAGAAAAAAAAAGTAGTGGGATAGAAAAAAAAAAATATAGAAAGGAGAGAGAGAATATCATCAATATTATTGAGTTTTATTCTATAACACTTAAAAATTGTATATAAATGAAAACTCTAACTCTATTTATAAAGTTATAAAAATAATAAAATAATATATTTAAATTCTAAATCTAATTTAAAAAAAGATATTAATAAGATGATAATATCCTATTTTTTTGAGTATAACTAAATCTAATTTACTAACTGTTAGTTGATTTAAAAAAAATACAAATGACCTAAAATATTTAAAAAACTTAATCAATATTAATTTTATGTAATTTATGAC